AGGCATTCCTTCGGCTTTATTCTGCAACTATTTTAATCCATTTTCAATTTTACATGGTCTTGTTATATTTAGATATGTTATAGTTTTATGGAGCTCTGGGGAAGAAATCTCTTCCTTTTTCTAGGAATGGCTGGCTTCTGAGCAGAAATTAACCTGGGGGAAGGAGGTGTCAAAAGAATTTAAGAGGAGCGGTGCTGGGTCAGAGCAAAACCTCATTTTCGGTAGCACCCTGCCTCACACCCAGCAGCCAACCGGTTGCCTCTGGCAAGCCCACCAACAGGGCATTTGTCTTTCCCGCTGACATGCGCTGGCAAACGGCACACGGGGACATGCTGCTGGCTCTGTGGTAACACACAGCCATCACGGCTTGGAGCCACTGGTACAACCCACAGAATCATGTAAATCACAGAATGATGGAGTTGGAAGGGCCCAGAGGGCCATCAGGTCCGTCTCCAAACTCAGTGCAGGACTCCGAGTCTCGGATGATCGAGAAGAGCCCCTGGCCTTCCTCTCTCTGACACTCTTTCAAGTATTTTTAGAGTGCTACCATATCTCCCTTCAGTCTTCTCTTCCTGAGGTTAAACATGCCCAGCTCTTTCCATCTCTCTTCAAACTGCCTTGTTTCCAGTTCCTGGAACATTCTTGTCATCCTCCTCTGAACCCTTTCCAGATTGTTTGCATCTTTCTTAAACTGTGGTGCACAACTAGATACAGTACTCCCACGGGAGGCCTATCCAGTGCTGAATAAAGGGGAACTAGCACTGCATGGGATTTGGAAGTGCAATGTCTATTAATGCAGCCCCAAATAGTATCTGCCCTTTTTGCACCCACATCACATTGTTGACTCATACTCTGCTTGTGATTTGGAACAATTCCAAGATTGTTGAGCCATCCTGAAACAATGCATCTATCTGATACAAGTAAGAATAATCTAACTTGCCCACCATCACGGCATCTTGAAGGAGCAAACACAACACACTAACAATACACTGTGGGATAAGTACTTTCTTGGATCTCACACTATTCACCTTCATGGAATGACACCAAGTTCTGGTAACCTCAGAGAGGGAAGGAAACTTCCTTCTACCCGCTTCTTTCACACTATGTATAACTACACTTAGCAGCACCTTTAGTCACCTGCAACAAGTAAAACCTGCCCTCGAGCACCTGGAAAATGCTTCCCTGTCTTCTGAAATTGATCAGGGATGTATGAGGCAAAAAACTTCTTCACATCTGTCCGCAGCCTGCATCGCAACGGCAACCTGGCACCTTAGTTTAAGGAGGAACAGGCTGCCATGGTTTGCCACCTAGCCCCAAGCTCCTGTGTTCAGCAAAGGCCACCAGCTGTTCTCGGGGGCCTTACACACAAAGCGAGGTAGCAACAGCCATGCTTTGAAACCACTTTACTGCTCCTAGAATCTGGTACTCAGAGGTACACTGACACAGAGCACTGCAATTCCGCATTAAGCAGCCAGAGCAAAACAGGGATGGCATGGGATGGAACTTCTTAAAGAAAATTTTCCAGTGCTTTGCTTTACCATGGAAAACCTGCCACTTCATAAATTCATTCGCAATGATTAATGGATGCCAACTGCAAATACAATCTTATGCCAAAAACAAGCACAGTATTAGGCCAGCTTGGCTGTTCCAAAGCTGGAGAAGAGCATTTGCCAGCAAATCACGCAGTTTTTTGTCTGGCTAAAAAGTTAGTGCATTAACAGTAGTCAGTAACTTTCCATGTGTTTTGTCTCAAATTTATGCAATGCAAGGGAAGTACATGCTTGTCTAGTAACAAATTTACATAACATTTAAGTCATATTAAAGATGCAAACTTTGCATGTTTAGAAAGAGAAAAAAATCTTTCAACTCCCAGCATTGTCCAGCCAGCAGGAAAATTATTTTTGTCAAAACAGGCATAGGAATGTGGCATCCATGAACTTTATCTACAAGTTCTAATATTTCAGGAGTATTGCGACAAAAACCTAATAAGGCTAGTTTGTAATGCTTAGTTGTTTACTAAACACAAGCCAAATGAGCCTATTAAAACAGATCACTATTTAGGGAATAAGGTACATTTCCAAAACAAGCTGAAAACTTTCAGTGCAAATTCTGTAACCTGCTCCAAAATCTCCCAGAAGCTCATCCTTTCAACTTCTTCAATGGCTGAGAACCAGTGTAGTGACAGACTGGGATCTGGAAGACACAGGTTCTATTCCCCGCTCTGCCACAAACCTCACCAGGTGATTCTGGGTCAGTCCCAGACTCTCAATCTACCTCCCAGGGTTGTTCTGAGGCTGAGAATAGGAGGAAAAGCATGTAGACCCCCTTGAGTTGCTTGAAGGAAAAAAATAGGAATATAAATAGAATAAATTAAGTAAGTAAATAAATGAATAAATAAAGGGTGGAGCTTTTGGGATTCTTCAATCACTGCCAGTTGCAGTAAGGGCAGCATCAGAACATCCAGGTGGATCCTTGGGATATTGCTTTTAGCATCTGTCAGGTAGAGACCACCAGGTGAAGGAACCAAATATTCCCTCAGAATATGACCACTGGTCATGAATCAGCCAAGAAAAAGCAAGGTGGGGGAGAGAAAAGGCGAAGTGGAGCTGGGTACAGAGTGGTGCCATTTATCTTTTATGTATTAAAATGTTGATATCTTGCCTTTTTCATACTAAAAAGGTCACCCATTGAAAATACAAATGCATATTAAAGCCACGTACAAAACAAAATGCCAGTGCAAAATGGAAATTAGTAGCAAAGTCGAGGAACGTTCGGCATCGGACGCCATCTTCCCCAACTGGGTGCCCTCCTCACTTTTGGACTATAACTCACATCAGGCCCAGTCACAACAGCAAATGGCCTGGGATGATGGGAGCTGTAGTTCAAAACATACAGAAGAAATCTGGCTGAGGAAGGGCTCATCTAATGTTCCAGCATATATCTGAAGAACCATCAAGCAAGCCTTCCTAGGTATGTTGAACTGCGACTCCCAGCATGCCGCAGTGTAACACATCTGGAAGGCACCCAGTTGGAGAAAGGATCATTCTGTCAACTAGTATATTAATAAGAGTATCACACATCACAGGATCCTAATCCCATTTCCTCAGACTGTGTTCTACTCCATTCGATGAGGCTCACACCCTAGCAAACGGGGTTAACATTACAGTCCAAACGACTCAACAATATTTGAGGCAGATCTCCTATATTCCCTCCATTGAGTTCCTCCTAGGAAGCAGCCTCTGGCTGATCCTGGATATTCTGGGGCTAGCCAGAATACCTGAAACATTGATTGGAGATGTGCGAACTCTACAAGCCTGGGAAAACTTCCAGATCTAAATACGGCAAGCAGAGCAGACACACCGCTGGATCTGTGGCAAACAAAGCTGACAGGTTTTATTGTGCAGTAGCCTCCAAACCTCTGACCTAAATATCCCAAATGAGGTGTAAATATAATCTCCATTTTCAACTAAATGCAGCTTTCCAAGGTCTCCTGGAGATCCAAGAATTGTACCTAGGACCTTCTCCACATAAGGATCCCTCCACTACTTGGTCTCCACTTGTTCCTAGTTAACTGTTTCCAGCTGGAAATCAGGAAAGCTCTTCCCCAATCCACTTAATGCACACCCACCAATATGGAGCACTTCACAGATCAAGGTAAAATGAGTTAGAAATCTCATATCACCTGGCCCAGTTTGCAGTATTCTCTGAGTTTCAGTAACTCTCCAGAAGTCGGCCTGTCCCATTGACCTAATTCTTTAAACTGGAGGTGCTGCTACATGGAAAGTGTGTGTTCTGCTACTCAGGCGTGTATAAAAAGCAATGCACCTGTCCGCAGGTAATAGCTAGGCCTGCAAGAACAGCTAGAAACTAGATGGCCCCTTTGCACTCTGAGAGCAGAACAAATTTGACAGTCACCTTGTTCACACGCAGCAAAAGTTGGGGGCCACTTTGGGGAGGCACACCCCAATTGCCCCAGTTAATCAGTGATGAGCTTGCTCACCGTTCCAACCAAGAAACTGAGCTGTGAGCCAGGAAGTTCCGGTTTCAAATCTCACCTCTGCCAAGATCTCGAGGTGCCCTTTGGCCTGCCTTTGCTCAGCAACAGGGAGGGGAAAGTACTGACTTCTCTTAGAGCGTGTTGTAAGAATTACAAGCTCATACATGCAAAGTGCTTTGAACACATGAATGCACCACACAGATGTGGTACTTATTATTCCCATTTCTTATCTGTGGTGGTGATTATGCGCCTTGCTTCTATTAAGCACCATTTTTCTTCCATGCTTCATCCAAAGAGACACTCATGTTGCTTCCCGCCCTCACTGATTTGGCTTCATGATGACACCCACAGCTAGTGAGATTTGAAAAAAGACATGACAATGTCTGGCGATGTGATTGTAGCAGCAGTTCCTGCTATCACTCCGTCATTCTGTGGATAGGAAGCACGGACGAAAAATGGCGCTCGGGAGCAACACAGAGTGTGATCAATGACAGCTGTGGAAGCAAAAATAATGAGCTGAGAAACAGCTTCCTGACTTCTCACACCCCCCAGTTGGGCAAGGACCTTTCAACTCATCTGTAGATCCCTAAAATGTACTGAGCAGAGGCATAAATGAAGAAAAGCTTGAGCTGTGTCTTCAGGAATCTCTCTTAACCCAACTACTACCCTCACTGTCCCTAGCCAGAGTGACCCAGCTGTGAATGATAGGACATGTCATCCACCACATCTGGAAGGCCCCAGATTGGTGAAGGCCAATATGGCACTTGAGCTGTTTTATGCAAATTTCTATTAAATGAGTTTCATTATTATCATATCCTTCAGTAATTATATTATTATAATAATTAATATATTAATTATTATATAATAATTATCTCCTTCAGAAAATACCACCATGTTTTACAAACGATAATGTTGAATATTATTATAATGTTATTACTGAAAACTTGCTCTCATTCAGAGAGGAAATGGAATCAGACCAATTTATAAGGGCAAGTATATTTACCTGGAGCATTAGCTCACAATCCTCTCGACCAACGAATATCATCTCCCGAGGGAGCCGGTGGCGAATGCCCGCACTGCTCACCAGGAACCACGATGTCACACTCATTTTGGTGTTTGGCACATCAACTTTTCACCATCCTGAACAAGAGAAAGAGAAAGTCCCTGAATTTTCCCTGGAATTTTTATTTCAAGTTTGTTTTAAATTCTATATTGTATTTTAAATCTGCTGCTAGGTTTTACTGTAGTTGTCGCTTTTATTTTATACTGTAGTCTTAACTATTTAAATTTTTCTATTGCATTTTATATCTTAAATTGTTGTGAACCAGCCAGAAAGCTTTGACTATTGGGCAGTTATAAAAACATAATAAATGAATAAGCAAGAGTTCCAGATAAGTTTGACCAAACCAATAAAAACTAATGGGCATAGACATATGATTTCGCACCATAACCTTCATTTCAACAACCAACAACCCAAGAGTCAATGCCAACTACACTTGAACGTAACTTTTGTTCTCTGTACCCAATACATATCAGAACCTCATCAGGATGGCAAGCACCTTTTGATATGACCCAAACTTCACCCGAAAACAGGCCTGGAAAAAGTTTGTGATGCAACATGACTTTCTGTCCAGCACAAAGCACCAAAGATCTTCAGCCCAAAAGTGACTGGGGCCTAGCAGGAAAGAGAGAAAAGACTCTTTTGGTGCCTTTGACAGCAGAAATTAAACTAATGTTGCTTTTCCGTTCTCTTCAGACAGCCTGGAGGCAACCTGGTACCCTCTGAACTTTTTCAGCTAGAATTCCCATAATTCCTAGCCATTTCCATACTGGCTGGGACAGATGGGAGTCATCGTCCAAAATCCTTAGCATAGGATATCGAGTCACTCTGACTGCTGGGAAGATCTGGGCTTGTCAAATCTCCATTCAGTCAGATTGTACATTTGGAGACTCCCAGTGGCCATCATCTGTTAGCCTAACTGAGGGACAGGACGATTATGAATGTAAAAAGGGGTGGACGCAAAGACCGTGCATACAGTCTGGACCAAAAGTTCAGGCCTGAAAGCCCTGATAATGGATCTATGTCTTCCATATAGGAATGCATAAGAAACGTCACACCTTCATCTAAAACTGCATGTTAGGTTTGCATACACAGAAATGTGACATCAGTACAATGTTAAAACATCACAGAATCTTAAGTACTAATACACTAAAATGGAGATAAACTATTCAGCCAAGAATTCTTTTAAAAAACACTTCTGCATCTTGGGCTACCGTGAAAAGGAAGAAAGGGTGGTTACTACATGGGCAGGAAATTAACCTATCATGGAAGTGCGCAAATCAAACAGAGAATCCACCTCACTGCAAGAGGAGACAGAGATCACGTTTTCCATATGGTAGATTTTACCTGCAAATCCTCTCTCTTCTCACCTCAAATAATCCACACCCCTAACTTTTTGACGACTTAGAGAGCAATCCTATGCATAGTTATGGGGCGGCATAAAAATGTTTTAATAAATAAATAATAAATAAATAAAAAAATAGTTAGATAAAAATCCTACAACTTCCAGCATGCTGGCGGGGAAGAGTAGGGGGCTGTAAGACTTTCTCTGTCTAGACATGAATGGCCCTGCACCCTGAAATAAGGACACTGCTTGCAGGCTACCCTACTGAAGTGTTTTTGCCTGCCTGCCTGCCTGCCTGCAAGGTGTTGGGTTGGTTCCAGATATAGGCAAGTCCCACTGCACAGACAGTTTAGGAATTCCCTGCCAATTCCTCCACCAGTTCCCACAACTACACCGAAGGCCTGAGACACTGAATGGATCAGGTTGTGGTTCTGGAGGCTGATGAGGATGGGATTGCCAAAAATCGGTGAAGGCCCCTACCATGAGCACAGTTCCGCTCGTGGAAGGTGCTTCCGCACATCTTCGAGTATCTACATGGGGTCGAGATGGGTTGGACACAACTTCGCGACTAAGAACAACACCCGTCCCATTCCCTCCACACCACAGCCTCCCATATTTAGCAGAGTCCCTGGACCTTCTCTGCAGCATTTTCAGGAGGCCAGAGCAGCTGACAGGTGACGGGGGCAATGGGGGAATTTGACCAAATGGGAGCATGGCTGTAATGCTATCCATTTTCCTAAAACTCAAATAAATAAGGAGGGTGGACAGAAAAAAGGACAATTCCCAGCCATACTATGAATCATGGAACTTTCTTCTGTCTAAACCTGCATAGGATTATGTCTTCTCGGTGCTTAAATTTGGGCCCAATCCATGAGCAGCTGACACAGGCTACACTGTACGAGTAAAAGCTACACCAACGGCATTTGCTGGCGTAAGATTTTCCCCAAGGAAAACATGTCACGCCAGCGAACAGTACTGCGACTGTGCTAGCCATCACTTATCGTAAGTGCAACATCTTTTGAGTTAGCAGCAGCAGCAAACTGAACACATAATCTGCAGAACAGCTGTGGAAACAGGTATGCTGGGTAGATTTTTCAATCCATTTCTGAGGTTTCCCCCTTATCTCTTTAATACTTTGACCAGCCTGTCCTAAAAAGTGTCCAAAGAAAAGATAACATACAGTAAGCACCCAAAAGGCAATGCAGTGCAGTGGGTGGAGCGATCCTAGGGATTCTAGGCATCCCAGCTCTGAGGCTAGAGCAGTAGGCTTGGAAAGAGTTGCTCCTGCTGCTTCTCTGAAGTTGCAAAGCAAGCCTGGAGAATCACAGAACAGTAGAGCTGGAAGGGAGCATGAAGGCCATCGGGTCCAACCCCCTGCTGTTGCAGGACACAATTTACACCCTCCCACTCAGAAGGCTGCCCAGTTTGTCTCCAGTGTGGGAGAGCCCACCACCTCGCTGGGCAGCTGGTTCCACCCCTGTATTGCTCTGACAGTGAGGAAGCTCTTCCTGATGTCCAGCCTGAATCCGGGTTGAATTGATTATTCTGTGTCCTACACACTCGCATCAACAAGAAGAGATTTTGACCTTCCTCTTTGTGACAGCCTTTCAGGTACTTATAGAGGGATAAACATGTCCTCCCTCAGTCTTCTCTTCTCAAAGCGGAACATTTCCAGTCCTCTCAGTCTCTCCTCGTAGGGCAGTGTTTCCAAACCCCGGATCATTTTTGTTGCCCTCCTCTGGACCCTAATTTTTCTGCATCTTTCTGAAATCTTGGTGCCCAGAACTGGACACAGTATTCCTTATGAGGCCTGACTAGTGAGGAGTATAGAGGAACTACTACTTATTTGAAGGGTTAGGTGTGACAGGGAGAGGAGGAGACCAGCACCAAGATCCAAGGTAACCAGGCAGCACCTCAGCATCCTGCCTTCCCCACTCCAAAGTGCTGCAGGTGGACCAGCGGCATCAGCAGTCTGGCTGCTCTGCGGGACAAGATGCGCACAGAGGTGACCCTCCCCTCTGCACTCCCATGCTGCACAAGATGTCCAGAAGACTCCAAGTCCAGCTTTTTCAAAATAAAATAAAAACAATATCAATACAGTGGTGATCGCCCGTAAAAGCAGCTACAAAAATAACATATCAATTGGCTCTATTCCGCAGGTGCAATACTGGCTGTCTGAGTTGACAAACAGGTAGCTTCACTTTGCTGAAAACACACTGAATTTTGAATTATTTTATTTATTTAAAGTTATATAGACCATCCCATTACGAGCGTCTTGGGACTGTTTACAACAAATGGCCCAGCATTCCTGCCTGTTTCAGAAAGGGAAGAGAGTGGAACCTACAGCTGCTGAAAACTTTGGAGGGCTTTAACAAGGTGGCTAAACCTCAGTAAGCAAATGTAGGTTTCAGTGCTACAAAAAAATAAACACACAATGATGTTTCCATGGAAATCATCTGCATTCTCTCTCCTTCACAGAGAAGGAGGCAATAATCAAACCACCAGCAAACAAAGTCATTGTACCTGCTTAAAAGGTGGAGTTAGAGAATGCAATGCTCAGGAACAGACACTGTTCCATCCAGACACACAAGAGAGCAATGACAACACGGAATGACACTTTAACGTGTGTAGGAATAAGTACAGAGGATATGGCTTGAAATCCCAAACATGCTTCCACAGGAATAAGTTCCAGGGAAATCTCACTGACTGGAACTGCACTGTAAGAAATGTACCTGTGGACCAGGAAGCCACTGGTCCAAGCAGGAAATACAACTTGCCCTGTGCTCACATCACAGTGTTCCAGGTTTCCAGCTTCATCATCTACAGCAGCCACAGGGAAAACTGGAACTCTGTGATGTCAGGATTCAGCTAAATTCTACTAGAAGTCACAGGGGCAAAATGACTTTTTAAAAGATTAAAAATTGCAGCTGCCATCTTTGTTTAACATAAGGTCTCCTTTGCCTCCCGGTGGCCTTAGGCAAGGTCGTGTTCTCTCTACTCCAGCTCCACCACACCCACAATCTGCAATATAAGGATGACAACATGGAGTAAAGCTGCTGCAAGAATGAGGGAGATAACAGGAGTAAAACACTTGGAATACTCAAGATACTACATAAACACTGTGTTGCTACATCCATTGTTTCCAATTTAGGGTGACCCTATGATGGAATGCCCTCTGAGATGTTCTGTAATTCACAGTCCAGTCCAGTTCTTGTAAATTCAAGGCTGTAGCTTCTGTTATGGAGTCAATATAAAACTTAAGCATGATTAAAGTCAAGCTTTACCCTTTCCTCCATGTAACATAAGAAGAGTTCTGCTGGATCAGGCCAAGAGGCCATTAAGTCCAGCATTCTGATCACACAGTGGCCAATCAGCTGCCTCTGAGAAGCCCACAATGCAACAGCGCATCCCCTCATGCGCTCCAGTGACTGTTGCACACAGGCATATTCTCTCTGATACCAGAGGTAGCATGTAGTCATCATAACTCTTTGACCTGGTTCACACAGCACAAGACAGACCATGGGCTGAGTGTGCGTTGCCAGTAAACTGTGGGTTCCTGTTGAATCAGGGGTTGTGTTGCATGGATCCAGCCAGTTTGTAGACTATAATCAATCGATGAATGGACAGCATATAAGTCGCTGTAGGGTAGTAAACTGTGAGTTGTTCTTGGTTAACAAACTATGGTTTGTTAGTACAGCCTGGTTCAGAAAACACAACAACCCATGACTCAACAACAACCCATGATTCAACTCATTTTCAACTCTGGCTTGCTGAGTTGGTGAACCCAGGTTTGGCCATTGCCTCTGCCTCCTCCCCTGCCTCCTCCTCTAATGCATGCAAGGAGCTGCAAGAACATGTTGGCATTTGTTGCTAGGAGGAAGGGAATAAACACACCAAACAATCTCCAACTGGCCCAGAACACAGACGCAAGGCAGAGCAGCAACTGAGGCTTGCAACTCTCCCCCCCTCCTCCTGGTTTCAGTTTGGAAGCTGTATCTATAATCAGCCTCTCCAACCCTCCACAGCCAGTTTGGACACAGCGAATGCTTATTATGGATACTTCCCCAGAAGGAAGGGAAGGTTTAAAGCAAAACACATGTGCAGGCACACAGCTCAAGGGCACCATAATCCTATCTAGATTTGCTTTGCTTGTTTATGTGTTGCAGGCTTTAAAAAGCAAGGAGGACAGGACTTGGGATATGCTGCACAAAGCGCATGACCAGGAAAGCATCACAACAGAGGGGCAGGCAAGAGCTGGAACAAAAAGGAGGCAGGGGGAAACGAAGACGGCTGCACAGTGTCGCGGCCAGAAGATGCCAGTCCAACTGGCCGGGCCGGGCCATCCCTCCCTGATCTACCATTACAAGGCGGCGGCCAGCAGTTCTGCACCACACCCAGGGAAGGCGGGTGAGGAGAAACGCCACCAGTCAAACCCAAGGTGCGACAGACAAGAGAGCGGCTGGCCAGAGGCAGCCAGATACATTCTTTCACTGAGCATGGGGGGGCAGACAAGCGAGGGCGGGGGGGTGGAACCGAGATGGGGGAGAGAGGCAGAGAGAGATGGAGTGCTGTCAATCCTCCAGAGAAAAGATAACTCGACTGTAAGAGAGACCCACGTCTCTTTGTCTAGAAAGAAGACTGGGGCAGCTGCCACACAGTCACAAGGGCTGCATCCAGTGTCTAGTCTAATTTAGGTCCCATTACACTGGGCCTACTCTAAGCAGCGCTAACCCTGAAGGCAAGGCAAAGCTATACATGGTTATATTCTGGGAGCAAAGCCTGGAAGAAGGCTGGAGAAGGGAAGAAGAGGGAAAGAGAGGAGGAGATGTGCAATCCTACTGTCCGGCTTGTGGGTTTCCCGTGGGCATCTCTTGGGCCACTGTGATGAACTTGGGTCCAATCCAGCAGGGCTCTTCCGTTCATCGCTAAGTGAACAGACTACAGACCAGCTTCTTTTCATCTCTGTTCTTTTGTGCATCCCTGACTCCTCTCTGTTCAGAGACATAAAGGGAACCTTCTACCTGGCCTAGGTGCCCACCCCACATTGCCTCCCCACCACCAGCAGCCGCACCCTGCCATACCGTCTAATGGCCCCCAGCAATGCGCCCAAGGGCTCTGCATCCCAGGTGAGGGAGAGATGGAAAAAGCCCGCTTTGCTCTGCGTTCTACCTGGCCCATTTCACACCGCTGCACCACCTCCTTCCCACTACATACACCCTTCCAGATTCACCCCTCATACCCACACCTGCATCTCTGCTTCACCTCCCTCCGGCCACCCAAAATCCAGTAGCCCCCCTTTCTCGTGCGGGCTCTGCCAGAGCCTCCTGCTCACCCCCATCCCGTCTAGCCCAAAAAGCAGAATATCCCCGCCGGGGAGCTGACTCTCCTACCTCCTCCGTCTACCCTCCGACCCAGCCCGCTCCTGCAGCGGGGCGCCCGGCGCGCCCTTCTTTTCTCCGCCGCAGTCACGGCCCGGCCGGCCACCGCCGCAGCCGGCAGGCCCTGCGCCGGCGGGGCGGGCTGCCGGTGGTGCGTCGCCACGCAGCCAGGTGCTGCCTCGGCGGCTGGAGGAGGCCGCAGGCCAAAGACGCAGAAGGCGGCATCAGCTGCTCCCGGTCGGGGGACTCCCTCCAGCCCCGCCTGCGCGGACTGGCCGGCGGCTCGCTAGGGGCCCAGCCCTTTCCACGCTACCTGCGCGCAGCCTTACCCTGCCGCAGCGGCGGCTCCCGCTTCCTGCCCTCCAGCGCGGCGCCAGGTGCCCGATCGAAGCCCCAGGGCGGCGGCGCGGGTCTCCTCGCCTGCCCGGCCAGGCGCCGCTCTCATGCCCGGGCATGCATCTTCCGGCCAGCCGAGCCCCTCGTCTTTCTCTCCCGCCGCCCGCCGAGGACAGAAGGCAGCGCCGCGCCCGCCCTGACTTGCACAGCAGGTTCCAGACGTCAAGAGGCGGCTCAGCGCGCCGCTCCCACCCCCGTCTCCTCGCTCTCCGCTCCCTCCCGGCGCTCCAGGGCCCGGCCCGGCCCGGCCCGGCCCTTCCCTCTCCCCGCCCGCCCGCCCGCCAGGGGCGCCGAAGCCGCCAGGCTAGATCAGGTGACGACGCGGGTTAAACATTACACGCGCGGCGGCGAGGCGTCGTGCGCCCCGGTGCGCGCCGCGAGCCCGGCAGCATCGCGCGGGGGGCGCGGCGGTGACGGCCGCCTCCCCCGCCCCGCGCCCTCCTCCCTCCCTCCCTCCCGCCCGCGCGCGTCTGGCGAGGAGTCGGGTTGCGAGGGCAGGGCGGGCGGGCCGGAACACCCGTGGGCGTGATCGGCGCGGAGGCGCGCGGCGGCGCTCCTTGAAAGAGCGGGGGGCGAGGCGGCGGCGAGGGGACCCGAGGCGAGCGGGCGCGGCGCGGCGTGGAGAGGCTGCCAGTTCCCAGGCAACCGCGAACGACATGCGGTGGGCTCGCTCGGCGGCCACAACCCGGATGGGGCAAATCCGGAGCGGCGGAGGGGATTTCCGCAGATGGCGTTCCTGCCACGCTTCGGCTGAGCCGCGAGCAAGGCCGGTGCGGCATCCAGAAGATACCCCCGTCATAGGAACGCGGGCAGGCGCTTTACGCTGCCTCGGCTCAGGCCACACGACAACCCTTGCACGCGGGTTGTTGTTGAACCGGGGGCTGTGGCGGAAACGTGGGTTCTTATGCCCCAAACCCAGCGGAGAGGACCGCCCGTGGAAAACCACACAATTCATCATCCAACAACAAACAAGCGTCCCCACAGCCACCTTAGAGGGACGGTTTAACCGGAAGTCCTGCACTGAGCAGGGGGCTGGACCTCGTGGCCCTTTGGCCCCTTTCAGCTCTACTATTCTGTGGAGTCGCATCCTGAGTTGTTCCTGGTTAAAAGTTATGACTTGTAAGCAGGATCCAGATAACCCACATTTTGGAGGTGGTGTAGGGAGTTCCTGCTAGGAAGCCCCATATTTTGGGAAAACTGGCAGCCCCCTGTTATAACTGATTTATTTATTTATTTAGGATATTTATATGCCGTCCTTTGCAAAAGCCTCAGGACAGCTTACAAAGGTGAAATACAAATATCACCAAACATAAATTGTCGACCCACTCTGGCTGCAGTTAAAATATAATGGTAAAAATACAACATTAAAACTTATTAAAATGTTGATCAAATAAAAAGGTCTTAACCTGGCGCCAAAAAACATATAATGATGGCGCCAGGCAGACCTCTGGGGAGAGCATTCCATAGACGGGGTGCCGCAGAGAAGGCCCTCCTCTGGGAACTCTGTCTCCTAATATCTTTCACAGAGGGTTCCCAGAGGAGGGCATCTGCTGCCGATCTCAGGGGCGGGAGGGCAAATAGGGAAGAAGACATAACCCTGATTCCCAGGGTTAGTTGGCTTTTGCTCATGTGCATCTCCTACTGCCTGAGGTTTTCCCCCCCCAAAATTAAATGCCCTCCTCTTCTCTACCCATATAGCCCTATTTACAAATAGCATCATCCTCACATTGCATTTATATCCCTCTTTTCCTCTGGTGGCAAGCGCAGGACAGCTTATGCAGGTCCATTTTACCCTTAGGAGCCCGGATGCTTAAAAATACAGGGAAAGAGACTTCGGGTATATGTAAATTACTATATGCATTTTTTTTATTACCTAGCACTTTCCCTGCAGCATTTCAGCCCACAATAAGAGAGTTGTTCATGAATTGCACCGACTTCTGTGTATGTTTCACAACCATTGTAAGGTTGCTAGGTTTAAGAACTGATGTGCTGTACAGTGTGGTCTACTGGTTAGAGTGCTGGTCTGGGTCCCAGGAGATGTGCATTGTAGTCCACATTGTAGCTCGCTGGGTGACTTGGGGCCAGACAGTGACTCTCAGACTAGCCTCCCTCACAGGGTTGCTGTGAGAACAACATGCTGAGGAGGATTATTTAACTGCCTTGGGTTCTTTCTAAGAAAAAAGGTGGGATATTTTAATTAACTATGACAAACCATGACGGGGGACATGATATCCCTCTATAAGTACCTCAAAGGCTGTCACAAAGAGGAAGGTCAAGGTCTCTTCTTGCTAATGCCAGAGTGTAAGACACAGAATAATCAGTTCAAGTTGCAACAACCCAGATCCGAGGGCCTTCATGTCCCCTTCCAACTCTACTGTTCTATGATTCTATGAAATAACATTTTCATAACATTCCATTGCAACTGAGAACTGTGGGTATTGCCTATGTGGCTTCATACCTTTTCAACAAGGCACATATTTGCCTGCATAAGATTGTGGCAAGGTGGGAAGCTACTTTGTAGATAGTCAGGCAGTGGGTCTTTGCAGCCCACTACTGGCACCTCGAATCAGTAGCAGATCTCCAGAGTTTCAGATAGGATTGTTTCCTAGCCAGAGGTTGGATTTGAGGCTTCTTGCATGCAGCCATCCTCATTTCCAGCCAGAAAAAATTTGGGAAAGGCTGTAGCATGAAACCACTACAAGTTCTGCATGGACTAGATGGAATAATGCAGGGCTGTAGAACTTCTGTCAGCCTCAATTCGATTGGAGGGAAGCTCTTGGGGACCACGTTCCAGGGATGGAGAGCACCCAAAGCAAAACGGGCCAGTGTGAAGTAGGAATGCCATCAAGAAAGCTGCTCCACTTGTCCTGGTTAGTCATCCAACCGAGTGGTTCTTGCTTAAGTTGAAAGAGCAAACTGGAGGATAAAAAGAAGCCTCTTCCTCTTAGCTCTGCACTCAAGCATCTTAAGATCTCTCTCTCTCTCTCTCTTTCATGTAGTTGCAGGTGATGTTGAAAATGATAACTCTCAAGCTTTTCAAATACGTTTTTCATCTTGATATCGAAATTCCACTACAACCTCCTATCAGCTGAATCAGGCAGTTGGATCCACAGCTTTTTTGTTAAGGATTATTCTTGGGTGCAAACTGTATTTATTTATTTATTTATTTATATTGCAATATATATCCTGCCTTTTTCCTACAAAGGGCTCAAGGCAGCTTACATCTCCTCCTCCATCTTATCCCCACAACAACACCCCTGTGAAGTAGGCTGGGCTGAGAGTGTGTGACTGGCCCAAAGTCACCCAGTTGGCTCCATGGCTGAGCAGGGACTCGAACCCGGATCGCCTGAGTCCCAGTCCCATGCTCTTAACCACTACACCACTGGCTCTTTCCATTTCAAAGGCCATCGGCCGCATTTTGCAATTCTTCAGTCTCCTTCAATATTGCCAGGGTGCCCTAAGGTAGGTAGTTCTGATCATCAAGCTACCCCGCTAATTAAAGGAATATTTGGATTCCTGCAGTCTGCTCCAGGGATAAGCCGGGCAGGTCAAAAGCCTTCCTTCTTGCACAGCCTGGCGACAAAACAAAATCACTTAGACTGATGGCCCTTGAAGGAAAGAGTTTACCAGGGAGCCTTTTGACATTGGACTAAGCTTAGCAGTGGAGTTGTTAACAAAGTATTCGACCGGATTCACAAGAGATCTTCATATGTGTTTGTGTTTCTACAGAGGGTGTGACAGCTGAGCATTAACAGAAAATATCACAGAATTGCCTCAAAATGTACTGTGGGCTCAGTATATTTCCTACTTGATATCACCCTTCCCAGTGCTGGAGAAATTCAACATCCATCAATCGACATGTGCTCTAATCTGTAGGAAGACATTTGGAGACCTCTCCTCCCAGACCGGCAGCTGTGGCAGTAGTTGGGGCGTATTAAAGGTGTAATCATAGGGCACACTCTCCTGGGAGGATATCCCATTGAACAAAGTGGGCCTTCGTCCTGAATAGGAACACTTGGGGTGGCACTGTGTGCTGCCTCTTGATGTTCCTCTAAAGCCAGAAAATCCCTTTCTAGGTCCACACTGAGCAATCCTGCCATAATCTCTAGCAGGGGTAGGGGCTTTTTCTCCTAGAGCGCATTCCCACTCGGATAATCTGTAAGAAGCAACATGCTGATGGTGGGTGGGCCTGAAGCCCGTAGGGAGCACACGCATTTCTGTCTCTCTGCCTCCCTTTCTGTCTCTCACATGCTTTCCGCCACCCCTTCTCTCAAGCTCTCTGCCCCCTCTCTCTGCAACCCCATCTGTCTGTCTGTCTGTCTCTGTCTCCCTCCCAGTTCTCTCTCTGTGTCTTTCTGCTACTCCTTTTTCTCTCTCTCTTCTCTCTCCCCCTCTTCTCCAGCCTCCAGCAGACTTACCCAGGGAAGGACTGATCCCTTTTGCCAGGGCTCTGAACAGATCTGTCCCAGAAGACTTGAGAAATGAGGCTAAGAGCTGCCTGCACTCCTGAGACCCACAGTTTCCAAAACAGAGCTACACACGCATCCAGGTTGTGGGTCTACGTTGCTTTTCGTAGCAGCCCAAAGTTCAGGAACTGGAGCCAGGTGCAAATTAGTGGCAAGGCACCAGGCAGCTAGATTCCAAATGCTGGTGTGAGGCTTGGTGCTAACGATCTATTGTAGCTGAACAAGGACCTGTCCAAGGCAACCTTTCTGGGGGAGAAATACTCAGGCTGGGCAATAAATGACTGACACAAGGCTGGCCATGGCAGGGAACACTTTTTATAGGAGATGTTTGCATGTTCTACTGTTAAGCTATTGGTGGTAAAAACAAACTGTTGTCACTCCACTGCAAATCACCCAGAGATCTAGCAGCAAATCCCAGCAAATCCTAATGTATCTTCTGCTGACCCTGAACACCTAGCTGCCCTTTGCAGTTTACCTGTCCCTTACCTGTGAAGGTGATGGCCTATCCTTAAGTTACTATTTCCATAAAGCTGATAAGATGCTTGGTCAAGAAATCCTTTGTTAGTGAGATGACTTTTTGATAGCCCAGAACAATTAGCTGATGGGCCCTCATTATTAGAAGATGGTCTTTTAATACCTGGAGATGTGCAGCAGTGACCTCCCTCAAGCTATGCAGAGGGGGCAGAATGGAGGAAACATTTTTGCAGTTTT